AGCAATTGCTACGAATACGACGAATACAACGCTTTAGTATTGATTATTTCTACCATCTCATATATGCTATTTATCTATGCATTCGTATATTACGTTTTTCGACTTGCACCATCCATCAGAAAGGTGTAAACGTCCGAAGTATCTATCTTGTACAATTATGTATTTTATTACTTACATCTATTTTTTCTGTCACGTTGTTAGAATTCGAATTGATTCTTCCTTTTTTCAGATACGTATTTTGGAAAAACGAAAGCTCATTTTCTAGTAAGGACACGAAGAGCTATACTCGATGACGCAAAACTGTAAAGTGATTGATCTTGATCGAGCAGAAAAAGCGATTTCTTCGCTGCCATCCATTCATTATAATTGGCAACGATATCGACCAAAGACTATAAAGCCTTGTAATTTGGCACGATAAATTTATCTACCATATTTCCAACTATATCTTACGGTCCAAATAATTATCCACTCTTAGCTAACGTGCCAGGTATGCAACTCTTTTACCGAAGAAACCCTCTTTATAGCAAATCTCTTGAAATATTTTCGTTCAGGTATTCATCTATCACTGCTAGAAAAGCTCCATCGTCTATATGGTGCCAGCACTGATGACGCAAGGAAATGGATGAAAAACTATCGGTATTCAGACGATCTTGAAGGATTTCATTTATCTCAACGCGGTGCAAGCGACTTAGCCGAACGCCTCCAAATCGGTGAATTCATCGCCTTTCTGCTAGCCTCTTTGCATGGCATGAAGAATTTCGAGTTACTGTACTGAAGAGACCAAATATTGCGTTGAAAGAACCTATGCTCAATTCAAAGCAGATGACCATTCTATTAGAGTTTTATCTGCAGATAGACGGTAGGCTTCTTGAAATATAAACATTATTTTAGTCTTGAATATCTATTCAAATGAATTTTTCTTCCAGTAGACACTTTTTACATGAAAGTATGTTCCTTCCGTGATCCTGATTATTGGTCAAACGTGAATAATAGTGAGGGCCTCTTTTCTGAATACAAACAACCTGAAGCACGATACGCGGTCGAACCTTGTAATAATCTATTTTGCGCTTGCTGCCATCCACCAAATAGTTGGCGAAACAGTCAGCCGTGGCCCGTAGTTAATTTTGCATCAAGCTCATCGCATAAGTTCCTCAATGTATAAACCACTTATCTGAATTGTTCAGCGGTATACTTTTGTTCACATATTTCGTGACGTCAAAAATGATAGATCTCTATGCTTCGTTATTTTAGACATGTACTCTAGGGGGAAACAGCGGACTTTTGTAATTAAAGTGACTTCGCGTACTTCAAGTAACTTTAGAATACTTTAGAGCTACTTTACATGTAATTTGAGCTACTTTAGGTACTTTCGGTACTTCAACTACTTTAAGTACTTCGTATCGTTTTATTCGGTTTTTTATCTCTTTGATAAGTTGCTAAGTGCACATTGCATCTCTCTCATATTAGCTTATTTCATTCTTTTGTTCTTTTGGAACAAATAATTGTATAGAAATAGCAATTACTGAATCGGATAAATATTTTGTTAACTAATGTAAAAAAACGATCGATGGATGAACATAAAAGACCATAAACAAAAGAGAGTAGGATAAAAAAGAGAAGAAATAAACGTTTATATTCGACTTCGTCTTGAGGAAGAATGTTGCTGCGATTGCGATGTTAATCGACGTTTAGCATTAGATACGTTTGATTTTGATGACGTTATTAATTTCTTTTGAGATGCTGATTCTGTTGAACTTGATGATGCAGTGAGGATTTGTGTTGGTGAAGGGTGCGGTTCATTAACCAATGTGTTTAACGCAGATGCTGATGACTGCCCTAGATGTTGTTGCACGGGTTTCAAATCATTACGTTTCTGTAATTGTTTCATATGAATACAATTTGATGATACTAAATGTTTATAGAAATTTGAAACCTGAATTTTCGCGTCATTTCTTGCTAATGAAATCGATTTGCCACATTGACATAAAATATTACCTTTAACATCATCATATTCAATGTGCAAAGTAAAATCAACATTTTCAGTTAAATTAAAATCTTTCAAATCAAATAAATCTTTGTTTTCATAACACCATTTTTGTTGCCTGTTCATTAATTGTATGCTTCAAAGCATTTCTCAATGCATTGAATCCAGATATAACGCCTGGTTTAATCATGAACTGTTCGTTTTTCAATTTGAACGAAAAATGATCCTTCAATTTTTTGTAATCCTTCGTCTTCCACATCATAATTAAAGATATCAAGTGGATTTTATGTTAACAAGAAAGAGGACGTCGATTTAACCGATATAATATCCAACAAATCTGCTTCTGCTTTCCCAAGAACTGCTTTGATGAAATTAGCAAACTCATAGCCAGACAAGGATAACACATTCTGTGGCAAATAATCAATTTTGTACAAAGTCGACATAATAAAAGTTCTTCTAAAATTTTAAACAAATATATACGTATAGAAAGATGTTAAGTTCGAATTATTTGAAACGTAAAGGCGTTTGTTGAAGAATACGAATGAAGTGAAAACAAAGGAAAGATTAAGTTAAAGTGGTATAGTAGATAAACGATTACTTGAATGAACTAACCAATCATAAAAGACTATACCAAATAGAACTGTACACGAGTATAATTTTGCTTTCACAAGCAAAATTCTTAGTGTGTTTCATACAGAAATGACATCTGCGAGATATATATTTATATACATAAAAAGAAGGATTTGTGTAGTATCCAATGAACCGTGTCAAATCAGAATAAGGTGATTCACATTTTAATCTGTAGATTTGATGGTACTCTCTCTCTTCTTTGATCTTCGATTAATCTATTTATTACATTGTTTGTTTTTGCGTTCAATACAGTCATGCAATAGCAGTTATTTGCATTCAACTACACACATGTATATATATGCACTTATCTATTGACTACTCATTATGTATCATCGCACAGTCTCTTCTTCTCGCACAAATGAAATAACAAAAAACTCTAAGTTTTATAAGTTCGTGTGCTTACTGCTCAAATAAATTTTTTGCCAAACATGTAGGTGTACTGTCAAAGATAGTAATCATAACTTTCATTTCATTTCAATTCCTGAACAATTTGTAAAAACTATCCTTATTGAATCAAACTTTCGAAATTTGTGTTTCAGATTGCTGTTTAATACTCTCTTCATTGGTGATACGCGTATCTAGTTCAATAGCTTGTATTTTATATTCATTTCTATAGAGCTATTCAAGTGCATGCCCCAAATTTCATTACACAAGGACCTTCAATTTACCCAATGGCCATTCTTTTATTGACACGTCGGTATTGCCAACCGATATTTTCAATCGAGTTGATAAGGAGTTTTTCTCTGTTGTTCAATCAGTAGCAGGCGATAGTGTGTCGAAAATTTTACGCATACAATTGATCAATCCGGCGCGAAAATTATTGAATACCGCCGATGTATTTGCCTTTTTTCAAGTTGAATCAGAAGAAATTGATGATTTAAAAAAAGAAACATGTTTTAAATCTAAAAATGGACTTTATTTCGTTAAGCCCGGTGTTCAAACTGGTTTATCAAAATTAACGAGTTTGTTACAACAAAGAATACAAGAAGATAAATTATCTACGGACAAAAATAATGATATTCAACAATCATATATCACTGATCAATCGATAGATAAGCATCCACTGTTAAAGTCTTTAATTCAATGGTATCGATTGAATGATTCGAAAAGCTGCAGCGAAAACAACGCATTGTTAATAGCTTTGATCGATAATTTGGTCATCAATCTAACACAATCTTCAAATAACTACAGATATTCAGTAATGGTAAAAAAATTTGCAACATGTATTTACATTATAGGTGGAAAACAATGCTATGAATTCATTAGATTAAATTTGCCCGGTATTTTACCTAATCTTACGTCCATTAACGATTTCATTAGTCAATCGAGTCAAGCTTTAAACGAAGCCGAATTTAAATTTCACTCACTTCAACAATTTCAATCAGGATTTGGATTCTGTTCCGAAGATACAACCGGTGTTATTCGTAAAGTTGAATATGATTCATCGACAAATTCATTTGCTGGATTTGCAACGTCGATTATTGATGGTATTCCATCGAAAAAATACTATCAAAGTGAAACATTTGATGATTTAAAATCGAAATATGATGCAAGTGAGACAGCTGGACTACTAAATGTTCATATGTTCCAAAGCATTTCGACTGCCAGTGATCCAACGAATGTTTCTAAATCATTGTTGCTGTCGGCTTATGGTGTGAATAACAAGATATCGAGTATTGATATTTTGCGAAGGTGGGCTTACATATTTGAAAATTGTTTGAATTATGGTACCCGTATCATTGGTTTTTCGACAGGTAAATATTATATAACCAATATTTTTTTAATGAGTTTCTCAATTAAAATTACATGCGGATAATAAGTATTTAAGTGCTATGCGTCTTGCGAGTAATTTCTTCGCATCGTTACCAAACTTCAAATTGGACACACATCAGCACGTGTTTAAGCTGCATGTACCGGATGGATGGAATTGGTTTTTTCTCAATCCGAATCAAGTTTTTCTTTTCGTCCAAGATCCAATTCATCTGGTAACCAAGTGGCGAAATCGATTGTTATCGCCAACGGCGAAACTACGCTTTGGTGATGATATAATTAGTATGGTGCATATCGAAAAATTGCTTAATAATAATGATTTTACAAGATTAGATCATGATTTAATAAAAGATGATGTCAATCCCAAGGATCGTCAGAATTATAAATCATGCATTAAATTGATATCCGATGACGTAATTAACCTTCTCAATGGCGTTATCGATGCAAATGGAACGATTGTTTATTTAACACTATTGAAAATGATAGTGAAAGCTTACATTGATCGATCAAAAAGTATTCATGAACGTAAGTCAGCATTTTAACTAGAACGACAAATTGAATATAGTTATCGAATTTTTATCATCATTTTATATGTAGGTATTCAATCAGCGTGGTGCACTGTCTTCGTTTGTCGAATATGGTGGGCGTAGTTGCAGAAAGTATCAGCTGACAAATCATCGAAAGACAATGAAATCAATACATTTTTTATAACGAGACCAGCATTTATGCCAGTCGAAATAAATGCACACAATTTATTGTATTTGGTTATGCTAGTTAAACAAAAGAAGGTGCCAAAGCAATCATTAATGAACATTCATCTATTCAACTTGCAGGGGTGTGAGTCGATTTTTAGAGATGCACGAGCGCTTAGTGGAACGTTCTCCTCAGTGGTTAATTTTACTGTGAGAAATTTTCTTCGTCGGTCACAAAAGTTAGCTATATTAAATGAAATTAAATATGATTCATCAGAAAAAGATTTGCGCTTCCCAATACACCACAAACATAAACGTGAAGATTTTTCCTTAACACCATACTCTCAATTGGATGATATTGATACATTGGATATCGAACAGATAGTATTAGATGCGTATGATAAAGCAATAGAAATTGTTAAGCATTCAAGAATGTTGCACTTGTTAAGCAAATTTAATCTGGATAATATGAATGCGTTAAGTCAATATGTTTTTGATGTGCTAAGGAAAAATTCCAAAATGATCAATTATTCGTCACCAATAGAAATCGATAGTGATCAAGAATTTGGCTTAGATGAGGAAAATGAAGATAATGACGAAACGAATGGTACACAAGATGACATTGATGAAAGTCAGCTTGATTTTGAAAATGAATCTCTTAGTGACGATGATGGAGATATATTAAATTCAATCAAATCAGGTTTCGACGGAATAAGAATATATGATCGTTGTAATTCCACATCAAGACAATCATATTTTAAAGTTAAAATCAATGGCAATATCAAGTATTTACACAAGCAATCCGCTTGCTGGCTGATGTCAAACAACTCATCGAAGTTATCTAGTGATCGTTTATCTCGTGTCAAACAACAAACGGTTGATATCTATACATAGAGCTGATGTCATCATATTTTTCTGGTTTGATTAACCTTTTATTTATTGAAGTTAGGCAGTGCTCTTTCTTATACTCTTTGTGCCGTTATCTTGATGTTTTTTTATACTATCCTTTTGATTTTCTTCTAGATCAAAATCATTTTAACATACTTTACTGTACCTCAGTGTACTTTAACGTACTTTCGGCTACTTTTACGTAATTTGAACAACTTTTGCACTTTTCACCACTTTTTAGCTCAAAGTCCGCTGTTTTCTCCTTGCTGAAAACTCTGGTCGTTTTTGAAAGTCAAGCCAATATTCTGGGTCGAGATTGTATCAAGGCACTTCAACTGTTGAACAAGTCATTCACAGATCGCAAGGACACCACGGCAGTGTGTTCAATGCACTCTTCGCTGACGGACCTGCAAGAGATTTGTACGCAATATAAAGAGATTTTTGGAGATCAATTGGGTTGTTGTAAGCTACAAGCCCAATTGCATTTGAAATCAGATGTGTTGCCAAAGTTTTTCAAATCACGTTCCATTCCTTTTCAGCGGATTTTTCAAAGTGGGCCGCCCCGATAGTAGCGGTACCGAAGCCTGGTGAGAAGGCGCGAATCTGTGCTGATTTCAGTACTGGGATTAATCAAGCAATCGACATAGATCAATATCCATTGCCTAGACCAGATGATTTATTTGCTGTTTTGAACGGAGGTAAATTTTTTAGCAAGATCAGTTTTTCCGAAGCATACTTACAAGTACCAATGGAAGAAACCAGTAAAAATACTCTGGTAATTAACACACACAAAGGGTTATATCGTTACAATCGATTACCATTTGGCATTGCTTCTGCACCGAGCATCTTTCAAAAGTTGGTGGATACCATGTTATCCGGATTATATGGGACTGTTGCCTACTTGGACGATATTATCGTGACAGGCTGTTCGGAGCTGGGCCATTTAAAAAATTTTTTAAATGCTTTTGCTCGGATCCAAGATTTTGGTTTTAAAATTAACAAACAGAAATGTTCATTTCTGCAATCCGAGGTGGAGTATCTTGGTTTCGTGGTGAATTCCGACGGTATTCATACGTCGACGTCGAAAACCGTAGCAATTCGTGAAATGCCACAGCCATCGAATGTGTCACAATTGAAATCATTTCTTGGCATGGTTAACCACTACGCAAAATTCATTCCTCATTTGGCGTCTCAGTTGACACCGTTGTATGCGTTATTGAAACAAGATGTTCGTTGGCATTGGAATGCAGATTGTAG